TTGATCACATTTATTTTGTAATTGTCTTAAATCAGATTAGAGTTACTATTTATCAGAAGTCAAACCAATAACTTAAGTTTCATTGACTCCTTCTCCAAGCATTTTCTCAAAAGATTTTAGATCATCCTTTCTCTACTATTCAACATCCTATATTTGTTTCTTAAGATTCACACATTCTGCCTAGAGTGAGCTGATTTAAAAGACTTTTTCAGGATCTTATTAAAATTCAATTTATTTTTCGCTACTTAAAGGCTTTTAGATTTATTAATTCAATTATTCATTTAGCTTTTACTTGGTTTAGATTAACTCATCTTTTAATTTTATTTAATCCAATTTCAAATCATCTATTTCATTTTGTCTTATTTTAAGTACTTCATTTTCTTATATCTATATTTAATCTTATTGTTAATTTTTTAATTGATTAACCATTTTTTTCATTTCATTGTTTTCATTTTATTATTATATTAGCTCCTCTTGTAATTTATTTATCTAAATTAATAATTATCTTTAATCAGTTTGTAATTTTTATTTTTAAGTTACTAAATCAGCTATACATTATTGATCGGCTCCATTTCCTATTATTTCCTTGAAAGACTTAAGATCTTCTTATCTTTATTATTCCACTTCTTAGAGTTAATCTTTTAATATAATATTTTCTGTTTGCAAAATATTCAATTACTTTAATTTATCTTCTTGTTATTCATCTACACTCTCGATATCCTTTTCCTCAAACTACCCTATATTTTACTAATTCAATTGTTTTAATAACTCTATTATTTAATCTTAAAGTGATATTTAATTTTTTTTCAAAGTGTCGTTTTCTTCCGCTATGATATTAAGTTCATCATTCTTATTAATTTTTTCATTTTCCAAATTATGTATTAGCTCTTATTATTAGACAATTTATTTCTTATAGTCTTCTGGTTATTTTTCCTAATTTAACTCATTCAAAATTTCTTAATATTACTTTTTACTTATATCATATTATTGCTGTAGTTTTATTCTTTCTTCTACTAATTCCTTCACTTATTACTTTAAATCTATATTTTATCTTTTTAGGATCAAATTTTGTGCATCCAGGCTTTCCAATTACATTAGGTTTTAGTCTTATGGCTAATAAATCTGGTTTTCAATCAATTAGTCATATTTTTACCTTAACAATTTAGCTTGTTCCTATAATTATATCTTTTCAAATTCCAACTAGTTTATTTTATCTTAATTATCTCTAAAAGAATTAAGTACATTCTAAAATTCATCTCTTTATTATATTGGAAATGAATCAATAACATTCTATCTTTAGTTAGTTTAATGCGAATCATGAATATTTGATTAAATGATAGAAACTTTTTATGGAGCACTCATGTTCATAACAAATGGATGTATCTTCAAAGGAGAAATTCTAATTGGACTTAAGTATTTAACAGGTGTAAAGGCGATCGAAAATCTAGTAGGTGATTATTTTAATTTATTATTATTGCTTATTAGTTTTAGATCATCGTTTTTTAATCTAACTAAGGAATTAAGCAATGAAATTTATTTTAAAATAGTTGGAATGCTTAATCCTCCTTACTACAAATGTTCAATATGTCCAATAATTTTTGAAAAGACTTCATCAGACGATAAACCTTAAGAACATGATCTTCCTAACTATGGACTTTGATTGTTTAAAATTCGTCTTACTGCTTTTGGAGTTTCATAAGCTTTTAATTCTTCAATATCTTAATTAATTTTTGCCAAATATATTTCTATTTGCTAATAATCAACTTCCTTATTCAAGTTATCTTGCTTGATTAGGAATGATATTTAGGACTTAATCAATTCCCTTAAAATTGTTATTGAATTAAGGTATTTAGTTTAGATGGAATTTCCTTATTTATAATTTTAGATATTATTTTGAAGTTATTCTAAAAGCCTATGAATGTTGGCAGGAGTATGATTTTAGGCTTCACTTTGATCGAGATTTAATTTCTTAATGGATGAAATATCTTATTTATTTTCTAACTAATTAATGCTTAATAAATAAGATATTTTTGACTCTAAATATTAATTTTCTTCCTTTAATTTTTCATATTCTCCAGATAAATCTATTTACACCTAATTATCCATCTAAGGTTAATTTCTGATGTAGGAATTCAATTGCTCTCTGTATTTTTTCTCCTATTCCTATGTTTTATTCACTTCTTGGTTTAATGTAGAGATTTCTAGAAGCAAGATCTTTTATTCGTCTTTATATGTTTTTCTAAATTATAATTGTAATTTACATCTGCTACTCTAACTAATTTTTGTTTTCTTCAAGCTCCTTTATTATTTAATTTTGCCTTTGAATTTCAAATCCCATCAAAACTCTTTCGCATTTTAAGCTGATCAATTTATCATCTTAACTAGGTTACTAAGATACAACTCTAAAGCCTCTTAAGGTGCTCTTTAAGGAGAGCCACACACTCTTAATAGTATGGTTGGTTTTTATCTACAGCCCTGGACG